CTGGACAGGGGACCCCCAGCTCCCCGCAATCATGAGCTCTGCTCCTGCTCCCCACCATCTCTGGCTCCCCCCCTGCTCCCCACCATCGCGGCTCCACCCATGCCCTGGCCTAACGCTTCTGACCAAGGCGTCAGGCCTGGGCAGGGGACCTCTCAGCTCTGATTACAGGCTCCGATAGCTGATAGCCGATGGGCGCCTATGTATGCAAATTAACCGCCATCTTTGTTGGCGGTTAATTTGCATATCACGCTAATTAGCCAATGGGAGGTGTAGCGAAGGTACGGTCAATTACCCTGTTTGTCTATTATTAGATAGGATAGCCAAAACCTAGAAACAACTCAAATAGGGAATAGAATAACAAATTTTGTATATTCATACAATGGAATACTACTCAGCAATAAGAAAAAACAAATTATTGATGCCTGGGACAACATGAGTGACTCCCAATAACATTATGTTGAGCAAAAGAAGATAAACACAGGAGAGTGTATCTATCATTCAATTTAAATGCAACTCTAGAATTCTCAAGTGGCTTTCTGGGCCTGGGGATAGAGAGGACTTCCTTAGGAGGGGCAAAGGAGAAATTTGGGGTGATAGAAGTATTCTGTATTTTTATTATGGTGGTAGTTACATGGGTATATAAATTATCAAAACTCATTGAAATATACACTTAAGTAAAAGTTCTATCTCAATAAGTTGATTTTTTAAAGGTAGGATTTGGGGTGATTTATATCCTTCAAGAATAAAAGTTTAGTTCACCCCACCTACAGCTAGGGGAAAAAAAATACATAAAACCTTGATCAGCTGAGATTCTGGACTTGTAACCAGTAGTTGAAAAAGGAAGTAATAAGTATTATGTTCTTCTGACCAGTAACAGAAATGAAGACTGTAGCAGCCACGCATTTTTTCTTATTTTTATCTGTGTATATATGTGTGTGTTTGTCAGCTCATTTCTTTTCCTCCCTCCTCCTTTTCCCTTATTATTTTCTGTAAGGGTTGTTGGTAGCACTTAAGTTTATAATTGAGTCTGTAGGTTGCAGAATACTCAGGTCAGATATAGACTGAATTAGACACAAATGTCCCGAGGTGGGTGCAACCGAAAACACAGGTTCGGCTGCCCGCCAAGACAAAAGCCAAAGCAGGTGTTGGTGCAAAAGGAAAAAGGTTTTATTCAGGTGCCATTCAACCTGGGAGAATGTTGACTCCCATCTCAAAAACCATCTCCCCTTTCTGCTCAAGCCCCCAGTTCTTATAGGGATAGGGGAAGAAGAGCTTTTTTTTTCTATCCAGTTATCTTGCTAGCTTTTG